AACACTGGCATTTTTTTTTTTTTTTTTTTAAATATCAGCAAATTTACACCTTGATCTTGTGTGTTTGTGAGAGGTGGTGGGCCCTGGCAAATCCTGCCTTTATGAAGTATTAGAACGAATTACTTACTCATCTTCCCTCCTGTGATCACTTTCCCCATCTCCTCACCCTGCAAGCAAGCACTTTAGAGGCTCTTTTGCTGGCGCAACTGCAGCCAGATCCTGCAGAACAAGCCCACACAGAATCGGCCGTTTGTTTAAAGATATAAAATCTTATGGTTGCCTTTGCAACCAGTCTTGACTTGTGAAGTTTGTGCAGTTTCCTCCAGGACCTGAATGAGCATTACAGAAATCAATTCCTCCCAGAGGGCTGTTGTGGCTGAAGCTGTATTTGTTCAAGGACCCACCTCTTATATTCTGCATTTTTTCTTTCCTTGGGAATATCAAAGAGTTGGTCAAAGGTGGACAAGTATGTGATGTAATCCAGTTTCTGCATAGACAGAGGCTGAGTTAGATTTTATACACAAGACAGCACAGTTAACAGGTTTACAGTTGCTGACTGCCCACAAGTGGCACGTTCCTTTGTCTCTCTTCTGGACTGCACGCTGCCAGCTGACACCTTAAACACCAGGGTATTTGGCAGTAGGAGGCAAAAGATGGCACAGCCTCTTTCAGAACCAATGCCTATATTACTGGAGAGGCTTTGAGAGCAGTTGTGGACCAAGGGGGCAAAGGGGAGAGCCCAGGCAAGAGGCCCTTCAGATTTAAAAGCATTTAAGCTGCAGCCACCAACCAGCAGATTTCTGTGTAGCCATCTGTAAATGCCATCAAATGCTGTGCCTTAAGCTTTCAAGAACAGACATGAGCATCTCTCAGGCTACTACAGCTTACCTCAGATGACTTCAGATTAATATACTTGAGGTAACAATCGTGCAGATCCAAGTACCGGCCATATCCTTCTTCATCTGTAAACTCTACTAAATCTAAATAAGATAAATTATGAAAGGAGAACTATTAAAGATACAGGAGCTCACTGTACCCATTTCTGAGAACCCACAAATCATGACGTTTCAAAGGTCTTGCTCCAGTTACAACCTATGTTTGGGGCAAGACGTTCCTAACATGTGACCAGCCAGCTAGCTGCTAAAATAGAATAATGGTCTAGAACCATCCTTGAGTGAAGCAGCTCTACTACAAAGCACTGGGCATAACAGGCAGAGGAAATTAAATGGAATCCAAGAGCAGTTTTCAGAGTTCTTAATAGAGAAGATTCAGAGATAGGCAAGGTGGAGCGTATAACTCACAATGGCCTTCTACTAAAGGTGGGTTTAAAATGAAGCCAGGGGCTTACTTTGTGCCTCTTCACTGGGGTTCTCTCTGGCCTTCAACAGCTCCTCAAATTCCACGGACATTGGAACACAGATCTGCAAGAAAGAGCAGAAGTTACAGTAACAGTTATCTAGTTGCTGTCAGTGAGAGCAGACTGTGCTTTCCTGGGTGAACCCACCAAAAAGCATCTTGCCCCATGTTCAAAATCAGCTTGTCTCAAATCAAATGCTCTATGCAATGGCAAGGGCAGAAAATAAATACTCTATTGATGCTGATTTTGGGTGCTCTTCAGCTCCTCTTGGAGAGCAATTCATCAGGACATTCACATGTGACATACCAACTCACATGCACGTGCTAGACCTATAAGATCACCACATGGCAAAAGACAGAACCTAGCTACAGAGTTGAGAAGAGCCAGGGTTGTGGGATCTGTGTAGCTTGGGGTAGAAGGTGCAAGATTAGAAATACCAAGAGCTTTAGAAAGCAAATGCTTTGAATGTCCCCTGCTAAATCAGCCGAGACCATCTTCAAATTCCAGGTGCTCCCTGGAGCGAATGAAGCTGGATGCCACAGAGCATCCCTTCCCTCCCCACAGCAGGGATATCCTCCCAGACACTTCTTGCAGCCCAAGACTCTTTTCCCCACACAAAGTGCGGGGCCACTGACCTCATTTGGGTGTTTCCGATGAAATTCTTTGATCTGCTTCAGCCGATTATAGAATTCTGCAAATTCGTTTGGCCCCGAAATCGCACTGAGCTCCTCTTTCCGTAACCTGAGGTTCCGCAGGAAACAAGTTGAATCAAATGAGAGGGCAACAGAGGATAAGGAGCATCTACAAAGCTGATCCCATTTCTTTTCATCTCACAATTACACAAAAGATTCCCCTAAAACCAGTCATCTGCCCTCAACTAAATTTCATACGCTTAACTGTTGCACAGAGATCTCATACTCAGAAAGGTTTGGATTTAGGAGTCCAGCTCTCCTGCCCACCTATAATGCAGTAGGGTGCTCCCCAGTTACAGGCCTTCAGGTCTGGTCCAAGAAAAACACATCCATTACACATGATAAAGAACCAAGTTCAGCAGTAAACCCAGAGCATTGTTTTAAAACGTTCAAATGCAGAAGTCTGAAGCCACTGGCATATATGATTTTCTGGAAAACTTGAATATACTAGGTCTTAAAATAAACCTGGAGAGTTGTATTAGCACCCACACATAACCACTTTGTTAGCTTTTGGACTACAATTCTCTGTTTGGGGTTGACTGACTTCCCAGGAGAGCAAAGTAAACCTGACCTTTTGTGCATCTTCAGTAACTGAATCTCATCAAGCCACTGCTTCTCCAGCAGGACACCTTAGAAAATTTATGTTACAGCTGAATTGTCTCCCACCCCATGAAACATTTTGGATCAGACAGTGTTCAACAGTGTTCTGTAACAACTTGCTGCTCTATGGTACTAATCAGATTGCTCTAGGATTCCCAAATATATCCCCTGTTAATGATATATACATATATCCAACATGAAAATTTCCCTCCCATCTTGGCAAGTAAGGTCAAAATCTAGGAAGGAAACTTAAGTTTATTATGGAGAAAAGAAGAAGGAAAAAGCAGAACAAAACCTCTTTTTTTTTGTAATCCCTAAAGGTGCAACGATTTACATGCACTACAGCCCTGGCACTTTTGTTTCAAGTAGGCTTTCAATACCATCAGTTCCTTTGGGATCTTTGCAAAGCACAAAAGTGAAATTTATCTTGCAGAGCTTTGAGCCCTAAGAAAGGTCAGACAAGGTGTTTTGGCAAACACTTACCCATCTTTGTCATCGTACAAATCTCTCAGATTGCCACTCACTTCCATGTACCTCTGAGAAAAGAGCACACTACATGTCAATGCTCTGCATGCACTTCTGCAATAAAGTACAGCACAATAAAAGTAGCTGAAAAGGCTTCCTTGAGGGCTTGCATTAGACAGAATTATCCCCCACTCCTTTGATACCAACAAATAAAGGCTCATTAACGAGCAATAAAAGCAACACTGGTCCATTTAGCTGCTGAAGGTGTTTCCAGGAACAGCATCACGTTTCCAAGTCATTTTGTGTTCTTCTCTTTAAGTCAACTTATCAGTAACAGGCTACAATGTAAATATTTATGTAAATAACATCTGGTTGAGCTTGTTTGAGCCCAATTACCTCCTGCCCAAGGCAGGGGACTGGACTCGATGATCTTACAGATCCCTTCCCATCCTTTTACTCTATTTCATGCAAAACTTAAAGCATCCCTACAAGTCTTGGGGCTAGAAGTAAACGCATCTAGCCATGCCCCATTTGCCCAAACCCAAGTAAACAAAATGCTTTAGCACCCTCATGAGAATGAAGGGGAACAGACCCTGGGGCCTTACACAGAGCATGGGCAAGAAGAGCACAAGTAATTTTCCATTTACACTCAGAAAAAGAGATGTCTAGGTGTTTAAGTGCCATCGTGGTCGGTTGTATAACAGCACACAGCTGGACTAACGGGCTGCCCGCAACGCACAGCGGGACGTTACCCTTTCACCGTGTGTCCCGTACCCCCCTTCGGACAGCTCTGGGTTGTTTCTCAAGCACCCCACAACATCTCCGCACTGCGTCCATCCCCCACCCCCGCCAGGGTGGCCTACAGGCATCAGGACAAGGCAGCAGTACTCACGTCCTGCATCGCGCGCGTGCGGTGATCCGAGTTAATCTGGTCCCGTAACTGCAGCCAGGGATAGAAAGAGAGAGACGGAGGGAGAGATGCTGGTGAGGCTTCACCCCTAGCTAGGAGACACAGCTGGGGACGTGCATGCACTCGCAAGCACCCCCAGCAGAGAGACATGGCGGAGATGTGTGTACACACACACTCGCACACCCCACCAGACACACACCCCCATCCACAGACACCCCCCTTGACACACACGCACCCACACATACCATACACACCCCCCCATCCAGACACCTCCTTGACATGCACACCATATACACACCCCCCATCCACAGACACCCCCCTTGACCCACACGCACCCACACATACCATACACACCCCCCCATCCACAGACGCCCCCCTTGACACACACGCACGCACACCATATACACACGTACCCGATCCACAGACACCCCCCCCACAGACACACGCACGCCATCCACTGACCTCTCCCCTTGACACACACGCACACACGCAAACGGCGCCCCAGCCCCGCGCACCGTGGACTTCTTGGTGAGCATCTCCTTGACCATGACGTCCATAAGCCGCTCCTTCTCCTCGTGGTAGCGCCTCTGCTGCTCCAGAATCGTCTCCATCTTGGCCCTCTCACCACCCGCCCGGAAGCCGCCCGGGCCACTTCCGCTTTCCCCTCCCGCCGCCCGGAAGCCGAAATACGCCACTTCCGCCTCCCTTCCTGCTCCCCCGAGTTTACCGCCCTCCTCTCACTTCCGGCGCGCCGGCCGGAAGTCTTGGGGGGTGTCCTATTGCGTCCGGACGGAAACTGCTGCTGGCACGAAGGTTCCGCCGCGAAGAGAGCCCCTCCTGCCCCCGGGGGCTCGGCTCTAAACCCGCCAGGTGTGCACACATGTGAACGTGTGGATGGGACACACGTGTGCCCACACATGTGAATGTGTGTGCATGAATGTGTGTGGGTGTGCACGTGTGCGTAGGTTCAGTGCTCAGGTCCAGTGAGGCGAGACGTCTGCCGCCTCCACTGCTGTCCACGACTTGGCCTGGCCCTCTTACAAAACTGGGGGAATTATTGGAGTTTTTTAAAGTTTGGGGAATTTGCTGAAAAACAATGTGGCTCCAGCCCAGAACATCTGAGAAACTTATTTGAACCTTGACACGCCCGGTCTATGAGCTTGGACTTGCAGAGAAACCTGGGATAAATGTAAAATGTAGAAGAGGAGCAAACGATAACGAGAGGTGTATGATGCAGAGTTGGGGGGGGCGGGAACGACCTAGCGACCGAGAACCACAAATCACCGCCAGAAACACGAAGCGACTCGCAGAGACCGAAAGGACGTGGAGCCAAGGTGTCTGCAGATGCTGACTGGGGTGATGGCAGCGCTGCGTGTAGGCGATAAACACCTCTCCTTATGTGTATTTTAGGAGCTTGGATGCATCTTTAAATGTTAAATCTCTTATTTGATCAGTTGAATTCATTAACAAATAATGTGTTTTTTTTTTAAAAAGCAGTGGTGCCACCCCTGGTGTTTGAAGCTGAATCTTGAGCGGTTTGCTGTGCTGCCACCGGCTGGAGTCAGGCGAGGGCACATGAGTCCCCGTGCTTGCCGGCGGGTAACGTGGCTGCCCGGAGTGTGTGGCGACTCACCGTTTTACGCTGGGTGCACAATGTTCAGGCCTGGACGCGAATGCTCGGGAAAGCGGCATGGAGAAGGGATGAGCGCAGAGCTGCTGGCCCAGGCTCTGCCCCAGGGATTTTCCAGGCTACAATGACAGATGGAAGAGAGCAGGGAGCTGCAGCAAACAGACCCTGGGAGCTGAAAGGATCAGTGCAGTGACACTGCTCAGCAGGCAAAGCAGCCATCCCAGCGCACTGGTCGCTAGCCGGTGCCAGCTCTTGTCAGCAGCGTGGCTGGGACAGCTTTAAGGAGGGACCTGAGGGAGCAGCATGGTTTAGGGCAGCGTTGCCCCTGCGTAGCCTGCGGGACATGCTAAAGCACAAAGGTGGCTACTGGAAAACCCTAACAAAGAGGTGATAGAAGCTGTGGCACTGGCAGGGCAGTCAGAAGTCACGGTGTCAATGGTATCCACGCAGTGGGGAGAGCTCGAATGGCCTCATGCGTGTAGACAAGTAGCTTGTGTTGCATGCAGTGAGACTGGGAAGACCAGCAGCAGCTGCAGCGAGATAGGCATACAAGCCGGCTAGGAACATGCCCTTTGTGGCAGCATTTCCAGTTGATACTTGAAGGGCCCTTTGTGCCTGAAGCTGGTCTCATGCCTCTCCCCACAATACAGTTGGCCCAATAAAAGGTATTATTTGAAAAAAAAAATGCTTCGCATATATTTTCTTGTCTATTATGGCTGCAACAACTTTAATAACAACTCTGTTTGAAATGTGGGGACATCTCATTTATGATCAGGCTGCAACAGCTGGCAGCTCTTCCCTGAAAGGGAGCTCCATAAGCCTCTTTGCCTCCGGCAGATGGCAAGCTTGAGCTGTCCTGGGGAAGATCCTGCAATCAATCCCTTGCCTGCTCTCAAGGTGAGATGGCTTTGTTTTTTCTTTCCCTCTCCTTGTGGGGCTGAGCTCTGGCTCCCTCCAGCTCGAGCAGCAAGAGGATGTGCCCCAGGCCAGGGGGCTCAGCCAGCTGTTATCCTCTGGCCTTCCCCAGGTGTCCTGCTCCCTGACTCCCGGTGAAATGGGAGACTGTGAAATGGGAGCAAGTTAGAGACCAGCTGCAGGAGAGATTGACTGCTCAGCACTGTGCAAAACTGGAGGAAAGGGGCAAGCCCAGAAACAGATAATCCAGCAGGCCCCATTCTCACTGCGATGTGGGAATGCAGGTGCAAGCTGACATAGGCTGGCCCACAGAAAGGGGCTTTGCCAGCAGTGCCAGCCACCTCGAGCACACACCGCGCACTGAGATGGGGGATGCAGGATCCCCGGTTCTGCCTTCTGACTGAGTCTGCTCCAGTCCTTACAGCCACCTACCTGCATGTGCTGCATCAGGGGACGAGCCCCACTCAGCTCGGGGGCATCTGAGCTGGGGTGGGAGGGAGGTTAACGGGGCTGCAATTCTCCAGCACCGTGTGGGCCCCTCTGGTGCTGTCCTACCCCACTGGGGGTCTTGCCTGCCCTGTGCACAGCCAGGAGCTGGGGACTGCACTCTCTCCCGGGCATGTGGAGGGGTTTCAGCTGAGCGAAGCCCTCCCGCCGGCCGACAGCCAAGCCACCTCCAGCCCCACGCAGATGGTTCTCTCCCCAATACTGTCCATATATGGTGGCACAAGCGGCAGGGAGATGCTGCCAGTTGGATGCAGGAGCAGGAGTGACCTGCGCGGAGGCACAGCGACCTTTCTCAAGGAACAAAGGCGGAGTGGGAAGGGCAGAGTCACAGGGGGGAGGCTGGTAACTTGGCCGTGGACTCGGAGTGGAGCTGGACAGCAGCCACGGGACGTGCCTGCCGGAGGGGAAGGGGCCAGGATGGTGCTTGGGAAGGGCAGAGGGGGTCAGGGAGGAGCAGGGCATTGCAGAGACTCCTCACATGGGTGCCATGCAGCCAAAACACGTGTACGTATGCACACACACACGCACATACCTCTGTCCCAGCACTCACTTGCACACACCATGAGTGCAGGACTCCCTCACCCCCTGCAGAGGATCCCCCCAGTGGGTCCACGTCCACTCCGCACAGACGCGGGCATCCTCCCCCTGCAGTGGAGGCAGAGCTGCCATCAGGGCACATGCAGCTGGGGGTGCAGGGACAGGCATAGGGCCCCCTGCCAGGATGCGACAGCTCCCAGCCTCTGGTCACAGCTGCAGCTGTGCACCCCGGGGCCACAATCATTTGTGCCACTATATGCAACAGCCCTGGCTCCCTTCATCCCCAGCAGCTGCTAATGGCTCAGATCCAGGCCCCCTGCACTGGCTGTGGGGTTTCTGCTTGGCCAGCGTTGCAGGGATGGGGGTGGGCAGGGGTGGAGGTATCCAGTCAACACCCCCCTCCCGTTATGCAGTCCCTGCCCCCAGGGATCCGGCCTTTTCCTGCCATGCCGTGACATTGCTGGCAGCTAAATTAAGGCTTATGAAAGCAGCAGCAGCAAGTGGACTGGGCACGGCATGACCGCAGCCTGCCTGGGGCTACCCTGCTCCACTGGGAGGACGCTACCCTCTACGGGGCTATCGCGTGCCATCGCTCTCCCATGAGCCGCCTCGGTTCTTCCCTATGAACACCCGGCTAAAAATAAAGCCGGAGATAAGACCCCGGACTCGCCGTTCCCCCAGCCCGAGACTCCAGCCCAGGAGAGGGGAAAACCTGAACCTCAAGTCACGTCCCACCCACCCCCATGGCTCTGGCTGGTGGAGGGGCTCTCTCTCCTGGCTTCACCACCATAGGGAAAACCAGTGGAGAAGGACCAAGCTCCCCGTTGCCAGTCTGCCCCATCCTGCAGCTGGAGGTGGGGATGTCTGGAGCTGGCGCACAGCCCGCGGCTGCGGTTCCCACCCGCCCCCCAGCCATTGCGAAACCCAGCAGCTCTGGTTCCTGGCCAGCAATGCTCGTACGGACGTGCTAAGATAAGGGCAAATTAGCCCTAGGGCTCAGGCCCACGGCAGGGGTGCAGGAAGCCCAGCTGGGGCATGCCCGGCCTTGAACACCCCATCATCCTGGGGCCAAAAGCTGTGCAGAGGGGAGAGAGGGGTGCAGGGGCGGCTGCTTTCCCCATCCTGCCCAGCTGCCTCTCTCCCCACAGCTCCCAACAGCGGGGCTGTCGGGATCCTTTCCTGTTTTCCGCCGGCTCTCGGGGGACCTGCATGCATGACATCACCCCACCCCCTCCCATAAATCCAGCCCCGCGCAGCGCGTCCCCGTGACCCACTCCTGACAGGGATGAAATCCAGATGTTCCCGCGCGGTGTGCAGCTGGGCCCTTGCCTTTTTTGGTGAAAAACGTGAGGCGCCTGAGCCCAGCTGGAAGAGGAGCCTGGGGGCCCTCTCGCCAGGAAGCCTGCTGCGGTTAAGCCCTGGGAATGGCGCAGGCTGCAGCACGTGGGCCGAGCCATGAACGAACGGCTGTGCTGGAGCCGGCGGCTGTTAGGCCTCCAGCAAAGAGCCAGCAGCCCCGGGGACCCAGAGCCTGGCTTGGGTCATGAAGCAGCAGGAGCACGGAGGTCCCAAAGGAGCACAATGCTCTCACTGCCCCAGCGAAGCTGCTCGGAGCCAGAGCCAAGGGTACACGGGGCCACGTCCTTCGTGCCGCACAGCCCCTGGCTTCCTCTGTCTGGACAGCGGCGTCGCCGCGCCGTGGGGCCAGAGGTGGGGACCGCGCGGCCCAGAGGGAGCCGCGATGGGGAGATGTCACCTCCAACATCATGAGAGTCACCAAGATCTGACAAAGCTGCCGGCTGCTGCTGGGGACCTGCAACGCCGCGCGGTCCAGCGGACGCAAGCTGACCCATCCCCTTCGCCCAGCCAAAGCGACTGCATTCGTCCCAACCATCGTCTCCCCCTGGCCCAGAGAAACCTCCTGGAGCACGTTGTCCCAAAGAGGTTTATTACACAAAGCCGTACAGAGACAGACACGAGGAGGCTGGGCTCAGGGCGCTTCTCTGGGAAGCTCCTTGGGGCAGAACGCAAAGCACCCACCGCCTCCGACATGCCT